TCTCTGGCTCTCTCGAGGCCTTAGCATTACACAAATCAATTTTATGTACACTTCAGATGTGAGAATTGATCACACTTTCCATGAGATTTGAAATTTGTGCATGAGTTTCTTTGCCCAGCTTATCACTGCATCCAAAGTCATTTTAATGAGTCTTGTGAGGGGAGTGTGAGGGAGGAGGTCCTCTGGGAGCGATCCTGTGGGAAGCTTTATTGACTGTTACTGTGGAAAATAAAGCGGCGGAGTTAAACGTACAGCCAAGCTTCACGTCTGTCTGTTAACCGAAATTAAAAGAGAAAATCTTTTTCACTCTGTTTACTCTCCCCTTTCTCTGGTGAATATACGCTCTGTTTCGAACCCTCATCTGCTCTTTTTCCCTTCTTCCCTTCACGATTCGCTGAACACAAACTTTATAATTCCCGGCTCTTTTCTCCCCGCCAGCTTGATTCTTGTGCGCTGGAAGGCAGAAGGTGTGCAGCGTCTGGCTGTCGAGCGCACTCCGAGACCATAAATCTCCAAACATATGAGAGGAGGCACACATAGTCTGTCAGCCTGTTCGCGGCGTGAAGAGACATGTGGGTGCCATTTTTTTTTAATTTAAAGGACTCTTGAAATTAGAGCAAACCCCCAAGAGATAGTTTAGTGGAGCAGACTGTAAGTGTGCATTTTATCCTCAGATTTGATGTCTTTTGACGTGATTGTTGGCGTTTCTTACATGTTTGCGCACACATGCATGGCCCGCTGTAGCCTCCAGAAAGCAAACAGCACCCATAGAGCGTTAGTGAGGACTAAGCAAAGAGCACGGATGCATAAGACAATTGGGGCTAGCTTCACGTGGCACTGTGGGAGCTCATTACTGTAGTCTTTGGGCTGGAAAATGTCTGTCAGTAAGGATTCATTAAAAGCCAACCTGCTGCAGGAGCTCCTGGTAGGGCTGTAATGAGAGGTCCTTCTCAATTTGGGCTTCCCAGTGGTTTCAGATTGGACAGGTGAAATATTAGCAGCAATCTGCATTACAGATAGAGGGGCTGTCCAGGCCAGAGTTTGGATTTGCTGGGGTCATTAGCATCACAATGCCCCAGTTGGCTCAGTTTTTTTAGGAGCATTTGAAACCACCAGGCTCTCGGTCACGTGCTCCGAGCCACCAGCAGAATATCATCCATTTATTTCATCTTCAGAAAGATTTGTCAGCACCAGCTGCTGCCTCCTACATATCAGAACATTTAATTGAAACATTGCTTGAATAGCTTTTTGTCTCATTAAGGCAGGTGGCCCTGAGTTTGACTCGTGGGTTTGTTTAACCTGGCTGTCTGAGCTGCTCTAATTTTAGGCTTCGGCTCGCTTTGTTTTGAGTCTCTGTGCGTAGATGAAGACGTAAAGCTTCTTTGTCTGAGGTTAAATGTGTGTATTTGTGCTAAAAGCAGGTTTTTACAGTCTTTTGTTTCTTTGCATTGATTTCCCGAGGCCAATTTCGTTTGCTTTCTGTTCTGCACGTGTTTTTGGTGTCAGCTCATTGATCGCTCTGCATCATCCGTGCTTTTATTTTTCTCTCCTGACTTCTCGACTTCTGTCTCGCAGACTCGCACGCCACGTGTGACACGACTCAGCCCGACACAGCCGGCTCTCGCCGACCAGGCCAGCAGGGTGTCCTTCGCGTCAGCCGAAAATCTGGAGAGCATGTCAGACCCTGATATTCCCATCGGCTTCAACAGGATGAACCGGCTCCGCCAGAGCCTGCCGCTGGCCCGCTCGTCCAGCCAGGCCAAGCTGCGGGCGCCAGGTCAGTCCGCTGTCTTTGAGTAAAATTGAAAAATTTCATATCTCTCATATTTAGATTGTGTCGAGGCCCATCTGTGATATCCACTCAGCAGAAATGACGAAAACGGCTTGAACCTTTCTGATTCTGTGCAATAAATGAGATCATGTAGGGGTTGGACATGTGCACGTACAATCTGCTCACGGGGATGATGACTACAAACTTTCTACAATAAAATCCAAAGATGTTTCAGGAGATTGGAGCCTTCAATTATGCAGACAGCTTTTAGTTTCATTCAGCAAAACTTTTATTCAGACTAAAGTTTAAAATCTTGACATTTTAGGGTGTGGTTGTCCCTGTTTATTCATAAAGTCTCTGTGCGGGTGAAATCTGTTTCTCATTTCTTTGAACCACAAAT